AAGAGGAAGAAAAAGGAGGACGACAGGGAGAAGAGGGTGGACGAGGAGGAGGAGAAGGAGGACAAGAAGGAGAAGGAGGAGAAGAAGGAGAAGGAAGAGAAGGAGGAGAAGGAGGGGGAAGAGGAGAAGTCTTGGGATTTGAAAAGAGGGAACGGTGGGGCGGGTAGAGGTTGGGATTGCCGACACTTGACTGATTAGGAAAACTCCGAAAAAGAGTGGATTATCAACCGGATTTTTTTTTATTTATTTATTTTTTTTTGGGGGGGGGGGGGGGGGGGGGGGGGGGGGGAAGGGGGGAATTACTTATAAACCGGATTGAATGTCAGACCGACTTTTTGAATAATTTATCGATCAACAGCTCTCTTAGTGCGTGATTGCTTTTTTCTATTTCTTTTGCACTTTTCCGACACCAAAAAAAAAGGGGGAAGGGGGGGGGGGTAAAGAAAAAAAGAAGAAGAAAAAAAAAAAAGAGAAAAGAACTACCTGTCCTGGTGACTCATCAAGCAATAATTAAGATCATTTTTTGCAAGCTGGCACCTCCGCACTTTAGCAGCAGTCCCACTTGTTCCACACGCCGTCTGGACGCGGTCCAGCTCGGGACCGCAGATAGAGGAAATCAAACACAGGGCAGCAGATCGCTCCACGTGGCGGCAGATGAGGCTGCGATCAGACGATGGAGCGCGCCGATGCTTATAGCGGCAGTCTTCCAGGCTGCGCAGCAAACGATCGCAGCGCGGAGTCGTCGAACTATCACCTCCTCCTCCTCCTCCTCCTCCTCCCTTGTTCCCCTCATCTGACGAGGCACCTCGTCGGGATACCGTTGATTGGGCCACGTGACCCGCCGCTGGCTTTTGATCTTCTTCTCCTGCCGAGTTCGCCTGCTGCACCGTTTGCTGCGACATCTAATTAATTGATTGATCGACTAATTAATGATTAATTAGTCATTTCGTTACGTTTAATCATATGATCATTTTACCTAAATTTAATTTAATTAATTAATCACTTAATTACCCCTTTGGGCATTTAACTTTGATGTTCCTGGACGCTATTTCGACGTGTTCTGAACCGAAATCGTCTGGCTTACCGTTTCCCCCCCCCCCCCCAGTAGGACCTGACGATTTCGGTTTTGGAAAAACGCCGAAATTGCGTCCAGGAACGTCAAAGTTAAATGCCTAAAGGGGTAATTAACAAGCCAACACGAGGCAGCCCGAGGAGGGCCGGAGGCGGGGAAGGCGGGAGAACACGTGGCAGCACAAGAGGGGGAGGGGAAGGAGGAGGAGGCGGAGGAGGAGGAGGAGAGAGGAGGAGCAAGGGCAAGAGGAGAAGGACGTGGCGGCGGCAGAGGAGAATCACAGCGTATTTCACTGCTTCGGTACACATCTGAAAAGAGTTGACGTCAACAGTATTATCTGTCAGAGATTCAATGTGAGCACGGTTACCGAATCTCACGGCAATTACGGCAACTGTTCATTCATCTCAAAAACGTTGACGACAACGGTTTTCATTCTCTGGCAAAACTTCAAATGTGAGCAGGGTATCCAATCTGACAGGGGAACAACGACGAAGATCGACGGCCAGTATTACCTCTTTTTCTTTCTTTTCCTTTTTTTTTTTTTCTTCTTTTCTCTTCGCTCTTTTTTTCCGATTTTTTTTTTCCGATTTTTTTTT